TTGTATAACTAAAAGGGTTTTCTGAACGTCAAGAATATTATATATAAAGTTACGAAGCGTTGAATAAACATAAGACATGTATTAACTATAATGTTATGATAACTAACTTAACCTTTGTTTCAAGTGATGGTGTCTTTCATGGGCTCAATAATAGAGAAGAAAAATTGATTCAATCATATAATAGACCGAAGAAATACAAGTCATTTATTTAAGCAAACATAACATTTTGGTGTCGAGTGAAATGAATGGTTAAAAATACTTTTGATATTTTGGTTTTATGTTAAGAATGAATGAATGATTTACTGAATCTGGAGAGAGAGAGAGAGAGAGAGAGAGAGAGAGAGAGAGACTAGTAAAACAATTTAAGGTTTTTTGTTTGAACTAAAAGATTAAGTATAGAGAGAAAAAAGAGCTCACATTATAATTGAAACATACAAACAGTTAATCATTATTTTAATCACGCAATCAGTCATTTTGTGTGCCAACAAACCGTATATACAATACATTTATATATAAGTTATATATACTGTATATTTGAGTCAAATCTATGAGTTGTTTGGAGTCACGGATTCATCTGATGATCCAAAACACTAACAGATTTTTATTATTTGATTTGTTATTCTGTTTGAGAGACCAATCTTTTAACTATCTATTAGATTATAGCTTCAATTCATACATAATATTGTCGTCAAAACATCTGAAACTAAATATCTTTTATATAATTATCTCTCTCTCTCTCTCTCTCTCTCTCTCTCTCTCTCGTAATTAAATTTATAATAAAGTAAATAAATATTTTGTAATATTTAGTAATTTTAATTTTTGCTCAAACAATAGAATTGATATTTATTTACTTTAAAATTATAATCTACATGTATATATATAAATTGACTAACTTAATAAAATAAATTTTACTTTTATTTTATTGATATATTCAAGTGTTATAATTAAAAACCAAAGTTATTAATATACTGTATGTAATGCAACGGATATATAATATAATAAATAGACATGAATTATATGTCAAGACTTATTGTTGAATATTATATATCATATAATAAATGATTACTTTCTTTATGCAAATTCTATTCATTTTCTATTATAAAGTTATACATTATTGGAGTATAATATGAAAAACGATTCAATCAATGAATTTAATGGATGACATGAATATAAAATATTCAATGCACTTTTCCGACATAAGAGATGATAAAAACTTTATTTTTCAGTCTATAAGTCAGTAAATTTTATTTATTAATATCATATTATCTGATGTTTTGTACGCATTATGCATGATATTGATTTGCGGTTAATATGAAAGACATTAATTGGAGATTAAATTCATAATATATAAATATTTATCAATCAATTTCTATAAAATATTTTAAGTATTCATAAGCGATAAAACATTATGAAAATTAATTAATTTTTAAAAATCACTGAATTTTCACATTAGATAAAAGCGTGCATTAAATGTCAAAAAAGTGTTTTATATTTATAATTAGAAAATGAATGCTAATTATGTGTTGACTGATATATCCCTGTGTAGACACAAGATATGTCACGTTTGGGATTGAATTTCAATTAATTTTACGTGAAAATAAGCAAAACATTAATGTTTTTGTACACATCATTTCGGATATCAATTTCTATAACAAAACATTTTATATTTAAAACAAATTAATTAATATAGACTTTTTAGGGAACTATGATGTAACACAGAGATATCAATTTTCTAATTAAATAAAAACTTTTGTTATAATTTAAGCATTTATCGGCATTTACGACATTAAAGGCATGTTTGGTTTGTTAAATAAATTATTCAAAGAATTGTAAAACAAGAGAATCGGATAGAAATAAATATCACATAAACTCCAAAAACCGATTGAAAGTGAATAATTGTTTGGACACATCCCTTGTCATCAAATGGTTATCCCTTCTTAAGTCCAAACAAATAAAGCTAACCATAACTATAACCATTGGTTTCTGAACAGTATTATGAAGTTAAAGCAAAAAACATTGGGAACGGATGGCAAGGAATGGGAAGAGAAGATATGTTAAACCCCGCCAAATGTGAGGCTATGGGTTGAGTAGCTATAGTCTTGAAAGGACACTGATATGGACTGATTTGAAGTGCATTATAGAATTATTGTATTAAAAGTTGGTTTAATGATAGCCTCTCTCATATTGACCAATATATCGTATACAGTAATACAACTTATATATCATTTGCCAAAACTTATTGCTTCAAAGCATAGCAACAGAGTATATACAGTACAGTATGTGTGAAATACTTACGTTTGGAGAATATTCTGTTGCTATTCTCAAGTCATATATGATTAAGGAATATGAGCTCAACTTAAATCCGAGCCCTAAACCATTAACACATATATCTTATGTGTTTTATTATATTCATATATTTTGTAACTTGAATTAAATGCATAAATTGTATGCTAAGTGTGAGCATCAATCGGTATTTATTACATTTAAGGGTCGGAAGTTGTCAACCAAAAATATATTTGAAAATATTTTATTTCAAAACATTTCATTCAAAGAATTAACTATTTTTAAAATATAAAAATTAAGTTAATTTTAATAGAAACATTAATATTCATTCAAAAACGTTAATTTTTTATTAAACAGCTTTCAAATGTTACATAAAATTTGTTTAAATAAAAATTTTTACTTTCAATTGCATTACAAATGAAAAATGATATATATTTTGTATATAATCTTTATAGAGAACTCGCGATTTGTTGGTATTTTGTAGTGATTTTTGAATATGAAATACAAAATACAGTCATTTATAGTGATATGGAAGACACGAAACGATGCCATCACTGGCGGCAGTGATATGTTTGGCGTCAATCGGAAACTGTATTATTGTTTGCCAATAATTTTTCAATTAGTCTTTTATTATTAGCCCCAAAAAACACACAATAGTTATGTTGGCTCTGGTGTGTAGTGTCTCTCAGCAAACGGTGGCGTCGGTGCGACAACTGGCCTCCGGGGGCACCATAAATAATTTGCCCGACTGGGCGCACACACATAATTGATATATGGCCGGGTAGGTTCGGCCCCTTTTTGTTGGGTAAGCGATTCGCAAATCGCGAAATTCAATTTGCTTTGAATCCAAATGGATCTAAAAAATGGATATCAATATCGTATATAAGAAACTTGAAAACACAGGAATTGGATGAAAAATCATGCTCAACAAGCAAAATGTTGGCAAATTTAATAAGTAATCAAAAAATAAAAGGAATTATAGAAAAAAATATATAAAAGACTAGAAATCTCTGCTCTTTCTATATATTAGTGTTTAAAGTTTGCGAAAGTTATGAAAGTCATCACAAAAGCCATATATAAATCAAATCAATGGTTGACAAAATGTATGACAAAAACATACGATTTTCTGTTTGGAGCGAAAGTATAAGTTATTGACACTCGAAGCCAATAGATTTCCAGCAGAACTGCATTTAATAAATACTTTTTGCGGTCCTTTTATTTTGATGCGTCGGGTGGGAGACAAGACGTTCAGCTCATCCAATGTATTTGATTGTACTAATGGTACTTGTATTGATCCATTAAATCTAATACCTGCCGCATCTGAGAGGGCACAGGGAGTACAGGGAGTGAGTGAGAGAAAGGCATTAGTAGCGCACATGAGATTACCATCACATGTCAGATTAGGACTAAACAACGAATTGAACCCAATATAACACAAATTCACAACCAGTATATACAGTATATACACCATTCTCTATACAGTATAGTACAGTATACTAGCACTCCATTGTATATACAAATAACATTCAATTCCACACAAACACAACACATCTCTCACTACTTTCACTACTCTTTCACTCAATTCTATACTCTATTTAAGACAACAATACACACAACACATACTTTTTATTCTCTCTCTCTCTCTCTCTCTCTCTCTCTCTCTAAACTAAGACGTGGATGCGTTTAAACTTACTGTTGACCCTCAGCTTATCAGTAGCGACGACAACATTTTTATCACTAACTAAGAACAGTAGCCTTCCGTCAGGACTTTTCACTACAAATTGATTTGCGATTCCATTGACTCTATTATTGGCCACAAATAATCGATTCCATACATCGCTATCACTATTTGTATGTCTGGCGTTCATTACAATGCTTTCATCCGATTGTATTCTAAGGCTCTGATCCTACAATAAAATTTAATAAAAGTTTAATTTCTATATAATATATATATATATATATTATATTTTTATTTTATACACTGAAAAAAGTATTATTCGTAGAGAATATTATATAGAATATGATTCTGTTGTGTGAATGCTATGCAGCATATCTAAATCCATTATCATTTCAATAATCCGATAATAAATATAATAATATTTAGTGACAAAAACTATTTTCTCTACTTTTATATGCGATTCAAACCGTAATAAATAAAGCTATTTATTGAATTAAATACTATTTTAGTACTTAATGTCATAAATGATAAATTTTAAATGAGTTTCGCTCAGACTTATAGTTAATTCAAATATACGTAATATTAGGAGTCATTTGATGTAACAAATAAAAGTTTAGATAAATATGTATTTCTGAATAAATAAATATATTATGCAATTAGTTTTAAACTTGTCTACAAGTTAAAATCTAAGAGGAAACCATATAATAAATATATTGCTTAATAAAATCTTAATATAAATTGTGAGAAAAGCATAGAAATTAGTTTTCTATGATATATATGCAGAATATTCTGTACAGAATATTCTGCATAAAACGAATCACATCTAAAATTCAGGTATTGATGAATACGATCGTTGTATGAGTGCTTCAATTCATGGTTTGATGACTACTCGTAAAGCAATTGAAAGCCATATCAATATTACACTCAAAAACTATATCATAAATGCATTTGCAATAAAAGTAATGCAACAGAAATACGGAATAGACATAGAAATGGTATTCAATTTCAATAAAATATTCAAAGAAAATATCCATTATTATGTTTTTGCTTATTATTAATATTATATACAAATTTTGTGTATATAAGTAAATATTAATGGAAGTAATACATAATTTTTGTAGATATTTTTACTTATATGTATTATATAATATCGATCGCCAAATAGTTTAATTTAAAAATTTTACAATTTAATTAAATTTTGACTTTCGTAATTTTATTTTGAACTTTTATGATTTCAATAGTTTTTTTTAATATTTATGTTTTTGATTTAAATTAATTAATTAAGTTCTGAAAACACATATAAGTAATTGTAAACTAGTAAATTATAGCATGGTCATACCTTTCTTGAGCGAATAGCACCTGCATAGACGTTATCCAATAGTAAGGCCTCTCCTGACAACTGAACACCAGTTGACTGTATCTTAAGCTTTCCGATGCCCTCCTATTAAATCAAGTTTTCATATGAAAACAAATTTAATAAAAATAAAATTTAGAAGAAATATAAAGAAAAGTTTTATTAATCTTTTGAGAATTCAATGAAATCTTTAAAATTAAAAAATTAATCATTTTTTTCCAAAATTTCTTACGATTGAAACCGTTCTGGGAATCAAAATACTTGTAATTTAATATCTAATGGAGGACTGTATGGTTAAATATAATTATGTACTAGAGTTCCTATAATTATTTTCATTTTACTTATATTTAGGACTTTAACTGTTTTTAAAATCAAAATTATACAAGATAGATTTTAGTAAACTGATTCAAGTGAATTT